CTCATGATCACTTTGGACACATTTCACCAAAATTCAACCTGACATGTCCACCACAAGCACCATGCTGAGTGGGGATGTGTGTGCAGCTTATCTGTGTTTGTATATGAATCTGTGTTTGTGCTGACATGTTAGTGTCTGTTGTGTGTGTGTGGTGTGTGTGTGTGTGTGTGTGTTTAACAGTGTGTAGTGTCAGCAAAGATTTTTGTGTTGCCAAGCTGTTACAGCTCCTGCTGCTGTATGTGTGGGCATAAGCTGCATGGATGTGTGTAAGTCTAAAGGAGTGTGTGTGTGTGTGTTGTTGTTTGTTGTTGTTGTTGTCACGGCGACATGCTAATTCAGTGACATGAAGTCAAAGTGACGTGTAATTGATGTTCCAGAGCGTGGCCGCAGAACGCGACGACACACCTCCGGTTACATCACAGCATCTGCACGGAGGCATCTTTACCAGGCGCATGTGTGTCGGTGTGTAAATGAGTGACAGATTAAAGGGCAGCACAAGAGAAAGAGGTAAAGGGACGGAGTGAGAGGACAAAGTGAATATTTTTTTCTTTAAATAATGACTATTATCATCATTAATTAAAGTCTCCTTGGCAGCAGCGCGGCCTGAAGACAGCAGAGGAGCCCATAAAAAGACAGAGACGGCAGCACCATCCTGACATTTCAATGAAATGTCAATTACTCTAACAGGCTCAGCGCCTGTTGTTTCATTTCATTTTCTCGCACACTGAACGCACCGCAGGAGAAGACAGCGAGCAGCAGGAAGCTGCTGGTGAAGTCCAGTTTACAACACGTCTGAAGGCTTTTAGAGATTTATTCTTATACTTAAACTTCTCCAGTCAGACGATCAGATTCACAGGCAGGGCTGTATATTATGTTATATAGCAGAACCCCACCTACTAAACTCTGTGAAGAGCTCGGTCCAGGAGGTGTTTACCCTAGTTAGCACAAAGACTGAAGGCAGATGGAAACTGTTAGCCTAGCTCCATCAGCTCCATGTCTGTCTGATGTCTTGACATGTTGTCTCAAATCGCCACATATGGACGCATGGTCAAGACCCCTTGGTGTCAGTTTGAAGCCCCGTAGCGTCACTTATGAATGCTAAAGGTAGTGTAGGATATTTAACAGAAAAGTCTGGTAGTTGGGTGGACAAGAAACCGGACTTTCAGGTTTGAAACAAAAAGTCAACATTGCATGTTTTTACTGAAGTTAGGTAGGTTACGTAAGTTGGCTAAGTTCTGCATGTAACATGATGTAGCGTAGTTATTTTAACCCAAACCATGATGCTTTCCTAAATCTATCCAAGTAGTTTTGGTGCCTAAATCTAACTAAATTGTGACATTTGACAACGTTAACAACTTGTTTTATTTTGAAACTCTTACTGGACATTGCATATTTACTGTTGCTAACTTGAACGCGGAACCCTACATATTGAAAAACGGCGGTGAAGGCTTTAAAAACTTGACCAAGTGTCCATATGTGGCAAGTTGGGAGTGAGAATGTGTTGGTTGTGACTCGTTAGCGAAGACTCTACTCAGCAGTCCATCATGACCTTGCTAGTTTAGTTTCGTTAGATAACCAAGCTGTGGTAAACCACACAGTAGGGGTCGACCAGTAACCGGTCTGGACGATTATCGGCGCCGATATTCAGCATTTTTCCAATAATCTGCGTCGGCCATTTTAAAATCAGATATCCGATATAATTAATTAAAAATTGCTCTCCTTTGGCTGTGATGCTGCCGCCTCTCTCGGTCTGCTCGAGCCCACAGAGCGGTGAGTACAATGTCCCGCCCACAGTACTAGCTGATTGGTTACAAGTCACCAGTAATAGCCTATCAACACTCTCTCAGCAGAGCTCCGCATGCACACTCTGAGCGGAGCTATCGGAGTGCAGATTACACAAGTCGAACATGAATACGCCCGTTACTGGAAGTAAGCGCATAAAAACCAGCAGTGCTAGTAAAAGGCTGCTACTGCTTCGGTACAAAAAGCAGGAAAGTGAACCGAGCAATATTTAATCTGCTCTGTCTCATCCGAGCTAAACCTCCCTGTCTGTAGCCTGTTTAGCTGAGATGCTACGTAACTTAAAATTTAGTAAATCCTTGCAAACTCAGCTGCTTGTTGAGAGAAACGAGCTCCTCTCTGCAGCAGCAGAGGGAGGAGGGCTGAAACTGACTGTCTTCAACCTGAACACTCAGTATTTTGATGTCAGATGAATATAGTTCATTTAACATGTTCCATTTGTTTCCAGTGAGATATTGATTTTAAATAGTGACTTTTGTTGCTGCTCTGAAAACAGTTTGTTATAATAAAAGATTCAATTTGATTACTGCAAGTATTTAGTAATGAAATACCAATAAGAGTATAGATAAAGAACAGAACCAATAAATAGCATCAATAAAATCCTAACTATAAACTAAATACATTTTTAAATGGCAGCAGGTAAAGACAAAGTTTCATAGTTAACAAGTCCATCTCTGGGATGGATCTCTAATTCATTTA